ATTTAGAGGGTTAATATGTTGTGGGGTTGTTAACCAATGTCATAAAACAACATGTGTACTACTGTTTCATGAGAAACTATTTGTTCTGTAAGCCTTCACTTGAAGTACAATAAAATATAAAAAAAAAAAAAGAAAAACTTGTTAGATGTTTTTTAGGACACAGGCTGGTAGCAGAGTTAGTCCAGGAAGCCATGTCTCCTAATTTCCAGTCACATGTTCTTTACACAATCCCTCCAAGTAAATATTTAAGAGTGTTTATTAGACTTGCTTTTTCTAGGCAAAGAAAGATATCCTTTCAACTACTATCCCTTACACACTCTTGGCGCTGGCAGTACCCTCTAGTCAGACATCAAGAACACACCGGTAGTCTAACAAAGTTAGGTTTACTGCATTGACGCAGACAGCACACCATGGGGAACCATAGGTATTTCAGTGAGGGACTGTTAGAAGGAGCTGGTTACAGGATTTGGATTTGTATCAGGTGATTCAGGGTAAAGGTCAAGGAAGCTTGAGTTTGCTCTGAACTGGGCACTGTCAGAAAGCGAGGGAAATTCTCTGACTGGTACCCAAGGAGGTGGGACTAATGGAAACTAATGCTGTATTTCCTAGTAAGTTACTCCTGTTAGCCAGAAGAGGGGGATGGGTGCTCATTTCTGTGGTTTGAACGGTGTTCTTGTCTTTGTCTCAGTCCAGTAGTCACAGAATTATGGTGGAGTTCTGTGAAACCACTGTCAAGCAGATAGTCGTGCCAGCTCCAAGATGACAATAGTCAGGGGCTGCTCTTTTCTTTCCCACTCCACTGCACCCAACTGTTTGCTGGACTCTCATCCCTAACGAGAACTCTTCCTTTGCACTTGCTCTCTCTGCTTGGATACCTCTTCCTCCAATTCCTCTGTCTGATAATATCCTACTTTCAAACAGTGGCTTAAGTGTCACTTCTTATATGAGGCATTCCCTGGAGCCTCGCCTCACCCCCAAAACTGCATTAATTCCTCCTCCGCCTCACTACCAAGGTGCTCTGCTCCTACCTCTACCATAGCATTTAGCACAATATAATTTCTGGTTATAAAGCTGTCTCCTCTACTTAAAAACAGAGGCCTTAACGTAATCATCTGGTTCCCCACCAACTGGCTGAGCCATGGTACTGCAGACTTTTATTAGAAGTTAACTGAATGTTTTTGAATGAGAAGGCAACCAACCCTAAGCGGCGCTGGTCAGGTTTCTTCTAGTCTCTAGTGCTCCCAATTTCCCTAGGTAAAATGAAGGGCTTGTTAGAATCATAGAGCAGGGAGGCTGTCAGTAATAGAGCCTTCCGGACCTAACTGATAAATTAAATCAGACTAGGGGAAGACAGAAAGATGATCCAGTTCTAAGGTCTGTAAGGAGCGCTGGTTCGACTTCCTGTCGCAAATGAGTTCCTCCGCCAACGTGCACAGGCCTGGCTGACAGGTTTGAGTTGGCCTCCGGGACTACTCACCCGCTTGAGATGCAGCTCCCGGAATTTGCGCAGTCTCTGTTCGCGCTTCTGGGCTGCCAGCTCCTCGGTCGCCTTGAGAGGCTCCTCCTCCTCCGCGCGGTCCACGGGTAACTGCGGGGAGAAGGACAGGCTTCAGGAGGGGCAGCCTCCATTAATTCCAGTTCGGCCCAGACCGATTCCCGGCCGGTCCCGACAGGCCGCGGCAGACCTTGTACCCCCAACGCCCCGCCCCTGCCTCCCTGTATTCCTCCCCAACAAAAACCTCTGAGCCGGGCTGATGGCACCCACCGTCTCAGCTTGAGTCACAGCCGCCATCGCAGCCTTTCCCTTTTCACTTCCGCAACAACAACGAGCATTTCCGTCAGCCTTCCGAGCGCTCCGCCCATATATGTTAATAAGCTGCTATGCAGCCCCGCCTTTTCCTGGCGACCTTCAAGAATTAGGACCAATCGCTGCCCCTTTTAACAGTGAGCTGGTTTTGATAGGCCTGGGCCCTGCGCCGCCGCAGAAAGCCGCAGGGGGAGGACGGGGCAGGGCCGGGCTGGAAGAGGGAAGTGTTGGAAAAGGCAGGAGGATGGCAGCTAGAAGGACTTTCCCAAAGGAGTCGTAGTAGAAAATAACCGAATCTACGTGTTCCCTATAAATGTAAAGTGCTTTCCATTCGCGTTTAGCTTGTGTCACCCTTCGAGAGGCAGGTCTTCCGTGGCTATCTTGTCTCACGTAAGCGTTTGTTGTGGTTGTTAGGTGGTTTCCAGTCGATTGCAACTCATAGCGACACCCTGTACAACAGAACGAAACGCTGCCTGATCCTCCGCCATCCTCACGATCTTTAATATGTTTGAGCCTATTGTTGTAGCCACTGTATCAATCCACCTCATTAAGGGTCTTCCTCTTTTTCGCTGACCCTGTCCTTCTCCAGGGAGTGGTCCCTCCTGATAACACGTCCAAAGTACTCGAGACAAAGTCTCATCATCTCGCTTCTAAGAAACATTCTGGCTGTACTTCTTCCAAGACAGATCTGCTAGTTCTTCTGGCAGTCCATGGCATATTCCATATTCTACGCCAACACCATAATTCAAAGGCATTAATTCTTCTGTCTTCCTTATTCATTGTGCAACTTTCGTATGTATATGAGAAAATGGAAAATACCATAGCTTGGATCAGGCACACCATAGTCTTCAAGGTGACATCTCTGCTTTTCAACACTTTAAAGAGGTCTTTTGAAGCAGATTTGCCCAATGCAATGCTTCGTTTGATTCTCTGACTGCTGCTTCCATAGGTGCTAATTGTGGATCCAAGTAAAATGAAATCCTTGACAACTTCAATCTTTCCTCCATTTATCGTGATGTTGCTTATTGGTCCAGTTGTGAGGACATTTTTTTTCTTTATGTTGAGATGTAATCCATACCGAAGGCTGTAGTCTTCGATCTTCATCAATAAGTACCTCAAGTCCTCTTCGCTTGCAACAAGCAAGGTTGTGTCATCTGCATAATGCAGGTTGTTAATGAGTCTTCCTCCAGTCCTGATGCCAGGTTCTTCTTCATATAGTCCAGCTTCTTGGATTATTCGCTGAGCATACAGATTGAGTAAACATGGTGAAAAGACACAACTCTGATGCACACCTTTCCTGATTTTTAAACCACGCAGTATCCCCTTGTTCTCTTCAAACAACCACCTCTTGATCTATGTACAGGTTCCTCATGAGCACAATTAAGTGTTCTGGAATTCCCATTTTTCCCAATGTTATCTATAATTTGTATGATCCACACAGTCGAATGCCTTTTCATGGTCAGTAAAACACAGGTAAACATCTTTCTGGTATTCTCTGCTTTCAGCCAAGATCCACCTGACATCAGCAATGATATCCCTCATTCCACATCCTCTTCTGAATCCGGCTTGAATTTCTGGCAGTTCCCTGTTGATGTACTGCTGCAACTGTTTTTTTAATTATCTTCAGCAAAATACTACTTGTGTGTGATATTAATAATATTGTCTGATAATTTCCACATTTTGCTGGATCACCTTTCTTTGAAATGGGCACAAATATGGATCTCTTCCAGTTGGTTGGCCAAGTAGCTGTCTTTCAAATTTCTTAGCACCTCCAGCGCTGCATCCATTTGTTGAAACATCTCAGCTGGTATTCTGTCAACTCCTGGAGGCTTGTTTTTCTCCAATGCCTTCAGTGTAGCTTGGACTTCTTCCTTCAATACCATCTGTCATAGACTGAATTGTGTCCCCCCAAAATATGTGTATCAATTGGGCTAGGCCATGATTCCCAGTATTGTGTGATTGTCCACCATTTTGTCATGTGATGTGATTTTCCTATGTGTTGTAAATCCTATTACTATGACGTTAATGAAATGGATTGGCGACAGTTATGTTGATGAGATCTACAAGATTAGATTATGTCTTGAGCCAATCTCTTCTGAGATATAAAAGAGAGAATCAAGCAGAGAGACATGGGGACCTCATACCACCAAGAAAGCAGCACTGGAAGCAGAGCTTGTCCTTTGGGCCTGGGGTTCCTGCACAGAGAAGCTCCTAGTCCAGGGAAAGATTGATAACAAGGACCTTCCTCCAGAGCCAACAGAGAAAGTCTTTCGCTGGAGCGGATGCCCTGAATTTGGACTTGTAACCTAGTAGACTGTGAGAGAATAAACTTCTGTTTGTTAAAGCTATCAACTTGTGGTATTTCTGTTATAGCAGCACTGGATGACTAAGACACCATCAGTTCTTGATCATATGCTACCTCCTAAAATGGTTGAGTGTTGACCAACTGTTTTTAGTACAGTGACTCTATGTACTCCTTCCGGCTTCTTCTGATGCATCCTGCATCTTTCAATATTTTGCCCATAGAATCTTTCAATACTGCAACTTGAGGCTTGAATTTTTTTCTTCAGTTCTTTAAGCTTGAAAAATGCTGAGCGTGTTCTTTCCTTTTGGTTTTGTAACTCCAGGTCTTTGTACATTTCATTATAATGCTTTACTTTGTCTTCTCAAGCAGGCCTTTGACATCTGTTCAGCTCTTTTACTTCATCCTTTCTTCCATTCACTTTAGCTACTCCATGTTCAAGAGCAAGTTTCAGAGTATCTTCTGACATCCATTTTGGTCTTTTCTTTCTTTCTTGTCTTTTTAATGACCATTTGCTTTCTTCGTGTATGATTTCCTTAATGTCATCCCACAATTCATCTGGTCTTCAGTCATTAATATGCAGTGTGTCAAATCTATTCTTGAGATGATCTCTAAACTCGGGTGGGATATACACAAGATTGTATTTTGGCTCTTGTGGACTTTTTAAAAATTTTCTTCAGCTTTAACTTGAACTTGCATATGAGCAATTGATGGTCTGTTCTGCAGTCGGCCCCTGGCCTTGTTCTAACTGGTAATACTGAGCTTCTCCATCATCTCTTTCCGCAGATGTAGTCGATTTGATTCCTGTGTATTCCATCTGGCAAAGTCCATGTGTATAGTTGCCATTTGTGTTGTTGAAAAAAGATATTTCCAATGAATAGGTTGTTGGTCTTGCAAAATTCTATCATTTGATCTCCAGTGTTGTTTCTATCACCAAGAACATATTTTCCAATTACTGATTCTTCTTAGTTTCCATCTTTTGTATTCTAGTCACCAGTAATTATCAATGCATCTTAATTGAATGTTTGATCAATTTCAGACTGTAGAAGTTGGTAAAAAGCTTCAATTTCTTCATCTTTGGCATTAGTGGTTGGTGTACAAATTTGAATGATAGCCCTATTAACTGGTCTTCCTTGTGGGCATATGGATATTATGCTGTCACTGACAGTGTCATACTTCAGGTTAGATCTTGAAAAAAAAAGTTTTGTCTTTTTTTTAATAATGAATATAATGCTATTTCTTCAATTTGTTATTTCCTGAATAGTAGACCATATCATTGTCTGATTCAAAATGTCCAATACCAGTCCATTTCAGCTCACTAATGCCAAGAATATTGATCTTCAAGCTTTCCATTTCATTTTTGATTCATACTTTGTACATTCCACATTCTGATTATTAATGGATGCTTGCAGCTGTTTCTTCTCATTTTGAATTGTGCCATATTAGTAAATGAAGATCCTGAAAGCTTGACTCCATCCACATCATTATGGTCGACTGTACTTTGAGAAGGAGCTCTTCCCCAGTCGTGTTTTCAGTGCCTTCCAATCTCAGGGGCTCATCTTCTGGCACTTTATCAATGTTCCATTGCTATTCATAAGGTTTTCACTGGCCAGTTTTTTTAGAAGTAGATTGCCAGGTCCTCCTTCTTAGTCTGTCTTAGTCTGGAAGCTCTGCTGAAACCTGTCCACCATGGGTGATGCTGCTGGTATTTGAAATACCAGTCATATATCTTCCAGTATCACAGCAACACACAAGCTACCACAGTAAGACAAACTGACAGACAAATATTTTATTTTCTGTTTAATTGTTCATTTTCTGTTCCCCCAGCAACATTGTAAGCAGCAGGAGAACAAGGCCCTTCCTATCTAGTTCACCCTTCTGCCCAGCAGAGAAACAATGTCCAAATTTTAACAGTGCTAAAGTTATTAAAATAATTCAGTAAAGTTCAGGATACAAGATGAATACATTAAAAATCTATTTTTCTGCCTTAACAACCACTAATCAGTGGTTAAGTAGTTGGCTACTGGCTGCTAACTGAAAGGTCAGCAGTTCGTACCCACCTACTGCTCTGCAGGTGAAAGATCTGACAGTCTGTTTCTGTAAAGATTACAGCCTTGGAAATCCTATGGGACAGTTCTGCTCTGTCTTATAGGTTCACTATGAGTTGGGATCAACCTCATGGCAATTCAAATTAGATGTAAACTGAAAAAACAATCTCTAAAATGAAAAATTATCTAAGTATAAAATTTTAAAGGTAAAGGATCTACATGAATAAAATTACAAAATAATTTGAAGTGCAAAAAAATTAAATCTGAATAAATGATGATGGGTAACCTATTTTCTGGCTGTGTAAAAATGGCTTGGCAGAGGGGTCTGACCTCCTCTAAGTTCGTAAGGGGGAGGGAGAATCAAGATCAACAGCCCAAGCCTGATTCCTATGAGGCAGAGGTCAGACATGCCTCCACCCTCCAACCTTTTTACCAATTCTGACACCAACCATCTCTCCCATGGCACTCTCTACTTCTCTGCTGGGTTCAATAATTCATTGCAGTGGCCACACAGAACTCACAGACAATACTCAACATTATGGGGTTTGTTAGGGAAGTAACAGGTTACAATTCAGGTTAAGGAATGCTCAGGATATAGTTCTTTGATTAGGACAGCTCTTCTCAGCCGTGCCGGCAGGCTCACCTCTCTCTGGCCCCTTGGTCTCTGCCCTGCTCTCAGGCAAGTGTTACAAAACTCTTTTAGCTCTACCAATAAGCGCCCTGAG